CCAGAAGTGGCTTAGTCATGCTGGCCATATGACCCGGAAGCTGCACGCTGGCTCCCTCGGCCAATAAAGCGAGATGAGCGCTGCAACCCCAGAGTCGGCCATGACTGGACCTAATGGTCAGGGGTCCCTTTACCTTTACCTTTACTCAGATGTTTAGAAAGCTTGTAGGAGTTTTAATTTGCTTTAGTCTGTTTTACTGCAGTTTTAACCCACTGTGTATTTTACATTATGGTTGCAAATGTTTTAGTGATAATTTTATATTTTTATCTTTTTTTGTAAACTGCTTTGAGGGTTTTTTTAAAAAAACAATCAAGCAATATGTAAATTTTATGAAATAGATAAACAAATAAACAATAAATAGCAAGCATGGGCAGTGATTCCAATCAGAGCCTCAGCACACCAATGGGTGAAAGACTTTCTCTGACCTGTCTCTGGCTACGGTACTGATCTAGGTCCCCAGCCCTGAAAGAATCAGCTATTCATGGTTTGTTTTTGGTTTTTTTTAAAAGTCTCATGCCAGGGTTATCCATGTGACAAATGTCACATCACATTCTCAAATGTGTCTTTTTCTTTTTCTTTCTATTTTTTTAATATAAATTTTGATTCCAACATACAAATCAGCCAACCAATAAAATACGAAAAAATAAAAATGAGTTACCTCATGTAATAACTAACAGAAGGTGATGTGTTTAACATACTTTCCTTCTGTTGTAAGATCTGGCAACTTGGAGATTTTCAGTATGCTTCATCATAATATTACAATTTGTTCTAAATCTCTGTTCTGTAATCTGGTGAAAGGCTTTGAAAAATGTTGCTGTATAGATCCTGATTTATGTATGAAATAAAACCATACTGCACTATATAAAAATCAAATATTTTAGCTTTATCTTCAGCTAGTTTAAGTTGGTAAGTCCATTTTTCTTGCCATGGCCACTTGCCACAGCTTGTTGTGCCAAGAATTCAATGTCAAACATTCTGCAGTTTTCCACTTTTAAGTTATTACCCTGCCAGGAGCCATCAAATTAAATACTATTAGTTCCATAAATACCACTTCATCCTGTTGTTCTTCCCAGATTGTTAAAATACCCAATGCTAGTGTGACATATATGTGTAATGTTTGCCATTTCCACCAATATCACATTCAAAAACTGTAGTACAACAGGATATGACCAACACAAATGTATATATGTATCTTGTTGGTTGCAATTTCTCAATTTTTTTGTTGTTATTTGTATGCCTGCCAAAGATGCCAGCATTTTGTACCATCAGTGTAACACTTTTAAGGAATTCTCCCTAAGGATCTTACATAGTTTTCTTTGATTCATCCATATTTTGTTCTATTGTTACCCCAACAGCAACCCGTATTTTTAATCCACTTGATTATCTTATATCTATTTCAATAAGATGTAAATAAATTTTGGGAATGATTTCTTTTGTATTGGTGATTGGTTCCAAAAGCACCCATTCAAATTTTGTCATGTTTCTAAGTGTCTTATTCTGGTTAACTTTGTCAATATATTCTTGAGAAAACAAGGAAAACTGACTAATATTTCCTGACAGGAGAGAGAAGGGAACCCCCTATTCATAATTCAAGGACCATTGCACAAGGATAATTTTAATCTACATTTTTCTTCTCAGGAACTATCTCCAGTGTGATGAACTCTGGAGCTGATCCCAGGCTCTCAGCTTAGCCTCATAATGGCCTTGGTATGCCTAGACATGCTAAATGAAGAAAAAGGTTCACAAGGATCTCCCATATAACGTTTAAGTTTTCAATAACATTCAGGTTACAGACTGTATTTCAGTTGCTTGGGGGAGCAGCTGCTAACACTGTCGTATCTTCAGGCAGTTCCTAAAAGATGACTTGCACACTTTATAGCACATAAAGCAAGCTTCTTCAAATATGAAAGGAGAAGGTTGGAATGATGCAGATCCCCAAAACCATGAGACTGGAACAAGCAACCCAAGAACTAAGAAAATGGCTTCAGGATCTGAGAAAAGCTGTGCGAGGGAGATCATGGGGATAGAAGGCTTCTAATGGTTGATATGGTAATATGACCCATGTATTTGTATAAATTCGAAACCCCGCGGCGGGGTGCGCTCCCGTTGCTCGGTCCCAGCGCCTGCCAACCTAGCAGTTCGAAAGCACCCCTGGGTGCAAGTAGATAAATAGGGACCGCTTACTAGCAGGAAGGTAAACGGCGTTCCGTGTGCTGCGCTGGCTCGCCAGATGCAGCTTGTCACGCTGGCCACGTGACCCGGAAGTGTCTCCGGACAGCGCTGGCCCCCGGCCTATAGAGTGAGATGGGCGCACAACCCTAGAGTCTGTCAAGACTGGCCCGTATGGGCAGGGGTACCTTTACCTTTTTATTTGTATAAAATGTAAGGCAATGGAGTAAAAATATTGTTACTTGTTTGTGGTTAAATAGGTCAAGGGAACAACTTCAGTTCTCCTACATGAAATACCTTGGGAAATAGGGAGCCCAGCACTTCTTGATGTTCTGGCTAATGAAAAAGGAAAGAGAGAGAGGTGGGGGAGCCATGCTTGGGGCAACATATTGAAGATGCAAAAATAAATTGGAAGGATGATTCTTGAAGCACACAAGACAGCTAGACCTGCCCTGATGCCATACTTAGGCCACTTAGAGAAAATGTCTTGGTTTGTACACATTTCTATTGGTTGTATGCAGTGCTATTTTTCTAGAAAAAGAGGTGCTGGAACTCAGCATGACTGCCTCTCTTGTTCTCTTATAATGGCAATGGCACCCACCTGAGAGGTGCCAGAACTCAGTTGCAGTGAGTTTCAGCAGGGGGAAAAAAGCCCTGGCTGTATAGGACCTTTTGCCTATAGGAACCAGCCTGGAATGAACCAGGTCAGAGAGGCAGAGAAGCCCAAGTATTTCCATGAGTACTTGGCTAGAGGCTCCTCATCAGAGAATGCTGCAAAACCAAAAAGTGGACAAGCCCTTAGGTGTCTGAGGAGGCTTGACCCATATTTGTCCTCTGCTACTGGGGTAAAAGAATTGATCATCAGCTTAACCCAGAGGAGTAACACATAATGTACAAAGGAGAGATGTAATTTGCTTTATATATGCTTTTATTAGCCACTTGCTGCTAAATGTGTTGTCCTTCTGTGCTTACATAAACCAGTAAAATTTGTGAACTCTTGACCTGGTGTGGCCTGCTGTTCTCTCTGTTCAGCTGGAATCTGAATGGAGCAATGACCACTGCAATTTGCCTAAGGGTGGGAATACATTAGTGGGCAGGCAAGTGCTCCTGCTTTTAAGAGAGCCAACAGAAACGGCTGCCCTGCAGATAACCAGGAACAGGATTCCATGATGGAACAGAAAGACAGAACTGGAGAAAATACAGCAGCAGAGAGAATGTAATACACAATATAGAGAACTGGACAGGAAGCGGAGCCTGAGCTCAAAGGGAGATTCACTGTTTATCACTGTGAGGGGAGCTCTGAGCTTATATCTCCAGGTAGTCTCCAAAGATTTAACTAAGGACAGGGCCACACAAGGAGGTTAAGTTATATAGAGGCAGTGGAAGCGGAACAAGACAAGAGTAATGCAAGTCCTTGAGAAGGCATAGAAATGTGGCCTCCACAGAGTGTGTGCACAGTTGTTGATAAGAAGCCTGCAATTTCCCAGAAGGTCTCTTTTAGATTCCTAGTTATCAATCAAACTACACTATGGCTCGCTAGTCTGTGACAAGGTAGCAATTCTCTCAAGTATTGAAGCTCAGGACAGGAACCAAACCAAGAGGATAAGCACATCCATCCATTCAAAATGATTCAGGGCTATTCTATGCAAGAAACAAAGTGTGTGCCTGGATTCACTGCCAATGTGTGGAAATGAAAATTATATGAATTCTTATTTTCTCATGCTGATATGCACTTGCAGGCTGCATTGTGGAGTGATTTCCAAAGGACTATAATAGCAACAATGTAGATACCCTTTTTCACACTTATCTAGTGAACACGCCACTTTCTCCTCTCAGATGATGAAAGAAGGTACCATTCAAATCACTTCAAGGACTTTCCAATTTTTCAAAAGTTTTATTGTTAAGTTTGAAGACTAGACGAGGTCATACTGTTTTAACATCATTCTACATAATTTAAATATATACAAAAACATTGGAACTTTACACAGGTCGCCAAGGTTGCAAAAGTCATTGTGTCTGAGATACTTCTGTACTTACTGACACATCTGAAGCCAGCTTTGAATATTATATTTCGTATGTTGTTGTATAGCACAGATACACTCATTAGTATCCTTAGTCTTCAAAACTCACACAAATTTGTATCTGTTCATTCTGAAAGAGAAAGTCAACCTAAAATTCAGAACCAGGGGTGGGTGGGTTTTTTGTTTTGTTTATGTGAGAAGCCCTTAATAGAACATAGATTATCCTAAGCCTTGTGCATTATGTTTAACTTTCCAGGCTATAAAAGTAGTAAATTAGGGAGCTATAGAAATGGGAAATCTGCCTAGAAATGACTAACAACTCTGGGGTAAACACAGATGATTTTTTTTCACTCCTTCAGCTTTGCTGTTAGAATTAATACAAAAGTTAAGGACTGTTTCGTAATGTTTTCTCAAGAAGTTTAAAGGCTACACATCTCAAACTATTTAATTCAATAGAGATCACTCAAGCTTGAGGGTTGCAGCTTTAAATAAACCAACATGCTGATCCTAAATACATTGTAGTAAATCTCAAAGCGTCTACTTCTGGAAATGTTCCATTAGCTTCAACATAACTATTTCAGACTAAGAAAACTGAAAATTTCTCCTTAACCGGATGTTCACTCAAACCTCATCATGTATGCATTGCAAGTAGTCTCAGGCTTGCACATACACATCCAACTCATAGAATGTTTTCTATAGCCCTTTTAGACATCCAGTGAACATACAGAGGGGGAGAATCACTATCACACAAGCTGTCCCAACTTCGACACATTTATCCAAAGGTCTGAGTATGTATGTTCCCTCCACATGACTGAGCTCTGCAAAAAGCAGGGTCCCCTATTGCATGTATGGAGCCTGTGAATTGTACCATTATATGCATTTGTGTTCAGACTTTGGGACGAACACCTAGACTCTAGGGCATAGAGATCAGGAAAAGACAGCAAGACAGCAAATGTGACCTTGTTCCCTTCCATGGATTACTGAATGTCTGAAAAGGCCTATGAGCCACATGTGTTGATATAAAATACTCATACAAAAGGGTGTACGGATCACATGAACAAAGCAAACTCAGGCTCATGTGCACATTCAAATGAGGGGAGAATGTGGGCCCATGACTTGCTTCTGAGTTCATGACTTGCGAAGAGCACACATGTTAGGGCAATTTGTGAACCTGCCCCATTTATTTTTCAATCAAAACGTACAATTATGATCCACAAAACCACTTGGCCTGGAGCACTGCCTCCTGAGCTTAAAACCTAGGCAATTTGTAGATCACAACGACATCCAACATATGTACAATTGTGTGGTGTTGTTCCATTTTTATTAATAAGATGTAATACCTAGACTCAGGGCAGACCAAAACATGTATGTACACCACACTGTGCTTTAGTACACAATTAACCAACAGCTGGTGACTCACAGCCGAATGTGTGAACTCCCTGCATTGAAAAGTGTTGTGGTCGAGGTGCGCAGGTAATCTGAAAATGCTGTCTGAGGTGCTTGATCAGTGATGGCTTTCACACATCCCAGTCACAGAGTGACCATGAATATGTACGTGTGAGCTCATTCTTACTACAGAACACACTATACACATTGTGCACAATGACAAACAGAACAAAAAGTGTTCTATATGGGATACATTTAGAGGTCAACTGTTACCTTTAATCCAAAGGACACAATCCACTGGGAAGTTCTTCCTTTTGCAAGAGGACAAAACTAGACTTGCATATATATTTTGTTATGTAAACAGGAGCTGTGGGGAAGCCAGAGCAGCCTTAGGGCAATGAGGTGCATGTGAAGAGGGGAGTTTAGCTCTTTTTCTCCTGCCATGGTTTAGAGAAAAACCATCAGAGCTGCTATTTGCATTCCAAGGGAAGGTCCTATTGCATTCCAAGGGAAGGTCCCATTGACTTCCCTTGAAATACAAATAGCAGCTTTTGAGCGGTGATTCTCATTCAGGACTGTGGAAAAGAGAGGAAGATTTCAACATAGGCTTCAATCAAGCTTCCAGAAAAATGCAACCATTGTATCCGCTTGGTTAATGTGATGTCCAGCAGTGGCGGCTGGTGGGGTAAAGGGCAGGCCAACAGTAGGTGGACCAGGTGGTGCTACAGCCAATGACAAGCAGAGTCAACTAATTCTAGTTTTGTCCCCATCCTCCTCCCTGTTGAGTTATATGAAGACATACACAAATTGAAAAAACAGGAGTTCATGCCAGCATACAAAGACACAATATATGGAAAATGCTCTGCCACTCTCAAGAATACCCTTGCATCGGAGATAATGAAAATATATTATTAATTCTAATGTTGTACTTATTTTGATGGTTCTGCAGTACCGCTTGCATGTACTGTGTGCCCTGTAATAGTGGGTACATTGTGACAAATGCATTCATTGTACTTTGCTTGCCATATATTTTGTCTTTGTATGCTGGCCTGAACCCCTGTTTTTTCCAATTTGTGTATGCTCCTCTACAGCGGGTTCCTTTTGTGCAAGTTATATGAAGGCAACACTGAGAGCAGGAGGAGGAATCTGACAGGCAATGGTACCCTCTGGGCTGGTAATAGGAAGGCAGGCAGGTGGGGGCTGGCTGGAGGCAAAGAGAGGCTGGTGGGGGAGTGTGCCATTTGCCCAAATGGAATAGCTTCTGTTATTTTGGCCATGGCATGAAATACAGGGTCAGATTATTATGCAGGCCCCATTCATTCCAGTGAGAAGAATTTCTCAGTAAATTGTGTCCATAGTTACTGAATAGATGTCAAAGGCATTTTTTTTAGTTTAATAATGTTGTGACAGGTGCAAAATGTGGCAAAAAGCCTCAAGGTGTATCTTGAAAAAGAAAGAAAGGAAAGCTTTCAGGCTCCTCTGAATAACATTGTAAAGGCCGACAGAACCGTGCAGCAGAAGGAAAAAATGCAACCCTTTCAAATAGAAGACTGAGTGACCACATTTTCAATAGGATGCTCTTTTTCGAACTATAAACTATATTATATATAAGTTAATTGCAAATTCAAGAAATATTCATTTAAATGCATTTTCTTTTTTTAAAAAGGAAAAAAAATACTAATAAACACAGAAACATTTTATCAGAACATTCTGACTAGCAGCTCAAAGTGCTCCATTGGTGACAGCTATAGTCACTGACATGGTGTTAGCAGTAGCTGGAGTTCAAGATGGAGCCCAAACGTTACAGACCTGTCGTGTCTTATTTGCAGGAACCACCTCTTATTCAGGGAAGCTGCATCCCCAAAGCATTTCTTTCAGTAAGATCTTCTGCAGAGGACCAATTGCTGACCATTACCCCGATCCATCAAAGGTGGCCTGCATTCTTTTGGGTTTGGGGCTTTCATGTGCAAAAGGGCACTGTGTATGCAGTTTCCCTTGCTCAACAGTGATTCCGTAAGAAGTGCCATATAGATGCAGCACCAATCACCTGTTTAATCCCCCATCTTCCCCCATATTTCACACACACACAATATGACACTGCCACTACTCTTTCTGGGTGGACCACAGGTAGACCTTGGGGTTGGTACCAGTGTTTACTGTGGTGGTGCCAGGCCTCATACGATTAGGCATGCTATTCATTGAACCAGCCAAGGACTGCAAGTGCAAAATTTGGCCCCATCAAATAGGCGTATAAAAATGAGGCCCCATTGAAGTCTCGACCCACTAAAATGTCAAACAAACCACAGTTCTTTTCTCCAGCATAGGCCAATACAATTAAGAAAAACTACTCTGGAGGAAGTAGGCTGTGAATCACAGGATCTTCATAAGAGCTTAAAAGTGCAGGATTTGGGCCATTTGTAGTTAAATGCCATTTCAGTTACCATCCTTATTCTGTTAGCCATTTGCACCTTAAAGCACAGTTATGATTGACTTTCTCTTTAAAATTATTCACTACAATTGAAGACCACTCCATAGATAACATTGTTAAAAAATGTTAACACAGTTACAGACAAGACAGTAACAGTCTAGTGGCTTTTGTAATGCAGCACAAATCCAACTAAAAAACAAAGAAACCCCATAAACTTAACAGTGTTGCACAGGACCTTAACATTTCTTACACATAACTTGCTTTACCTTGATCAGATTCTCAAACTAAGGAGCTCAGAATATCCATGTCTAAGCCTTACAAAAAAAAAGTGTGAACAAATGCACCTTAAGAATTAGGTGCTCTTTATCGACAGATCTCATTATTCTACTGGTTCGATGTTTTTGAGAGGTGCTTTCAAGATAGCATCCCCTGATCATTAAAGGTTTTTGTTTTTAAGCAAAGCAGATGTAATGACCATGTCCATATGTCATGCTAAATCATTGTTTAGTGTGATGTGCACAAACAGGAATAAGCTGCAGTGAGCTTTGGGTTTTCACCCTCTCCCCTATCCTATCCTCTTTCCATGTGGTCAGAAGGAGGAATTTTGAAGCTTTCACTTCTACTTTTGATTAACCACAGCTTGCTGTAACATCTAGACCTGAGGGTATGTCTTAAAATTAGCCGCAGTTAATGTTAAAACAGGCTTGTTGCTCTAGATGACACGGCAAACCATGGTTAAGCAAAAGTGGATGTGAGAACTTCTAAACTCTTCCCCTCAGGAGGAAGAGAGGAGAGAAGAGGGGAGGAGCATGTGAGTTCACGTTGCACAGTTTCATGTGATGTCTCAACGTGGCCATTATCTCATGTTGCAGAGTAGGAGTTTATGTGAAGGTTGTGATGACCTTTAAAAAATATATCAGACTTTTAAATCTTTTTCTTTTCTTTTTAAACAAGCGTATCGATTCCTTACTGTAAAATTATAGGATGACTAAGTATTTATTAAGGTCATAGAGCCCATCTTTATATCTCCATTTTTTTCTTTTAATGATAATGGAATTTCATAAAAAATACTTAGCATGATGTGTTAATGAGACACAACCAAGAAAAAAAAATCTACCACAGTATGTTATGAAATTAAAAATGAAAATGAGCACAACTTGAAGGTTTTAAGTAATAAGAAGACACTCAAGAATTATAAAAGAAATGGACAGAATACCAATACCTTATTAAAATGAAAGTGCTTTGCAATATTTGTTAGGACTACCATTTACCAGGAACTCCTTCTGCACAACGAAGGAGTTTTACACAAGATAAATTCCTTCTATTAAATCCTGGCCGTGTTTTCATACACATTTGTCACAGCTTGGGTTGCACTGACCCAGATGGTGGTCGGGCAGAGTCAGAAATGGAGAGCCATTTACACAGTGCTCTGCCAGCACCTTTGTGTACTAATTCCAATGGCAACAGCATATCATATCTTGCTTGGCCAGGGATTGGCATGGGCTACTGTTTCTCTGGGAAAACTGCATACATGGCTTTCTAGCATTGACTGATGTGTGCTGCATCCTAGGTCCATTCAAATGAAGCTACAGCCATCTTGACAATTTCAAATGGAAGATCTTAGTCACAGAGGTCAATGCGCAAGAGAACTGGATTTATGGCTAATTCAGGTTATCAACTGAAGAGGGTGTTATTAGGTAATAGGCTAATCACTAACAATGAGTAATAAGGTCACCTCTTGAGATATTTGCTTGCTCTGAAGGGATCTGTTCTGATGTATAAGCAAGACCCATTAGCGATAGCTGACCTGTGATAAACAGTTCACACCACAGCTATGATGCAGCAGCAGCTGCGGTTGCCACATGACCCCATGGAGTTACTTGGGAAAGCACTTCAGAAACCTTTTTACCCCATTCAGTAATCCCAGCTCTTCCTTCAATAGTGATAGCAAGCTCTGCCAGCACTGAGGCTGCAAATGATAAGAAAACTGAATGCCTGAAGTAGGAATACTGTGGTGTTTGACTGACTCCTGTATGTGGCTTATCTTTCTGAATGCATGCACACTGCTTGATCCATCAGGGCAGTATGTACTCCATTCTCTGTTATCAGGGCACTGCATGATCCACATTTTAAAAAATAATTAAAATTCTACAATCCAACTTCTATACCCTTTCCAGTCATGGGGAGGTGATGGAACTATGGTGGGCACTGAAATTCCAACCTCTGGAGATTGCAGCAGCTGCTGGCAAGATACTTTTGATCATATTTTTTGCAGTCTTAAGAGCTATAAACTTTCTCATTTTGAAATGAAGGCTGCCATTCCCAGAAAGCTGAATTCATCACCCAATAATGAGTTCTTTGCTCTCCCTCCAATTTCTTTCCTGAAGGCTCATAGCATACACTCAGCCCTGCTTATTATCGCTGATGATTGGCACCTGCCCCGTATCTGAATCCAATTCTCCCACTTCCTTCCTCTCTCTGTTTTTGCAACACTGCCACTTGCGTATCCTACAAGACTTGTCTTCTCCAGTCAGAGGGCCTGAAGAATCCTTGCAGAGCTGATGGTTAAAATAATGTTAAGATATAATATTATATGACCACTCAGCCTCAGGTTTCATCCTTCCACACATATTTCTGAAGCTTGGGGACAGTGCTGTAGTTGAGTTGCTCCTCAGAACGAGGATACATAGTCCATATGTTTCGGCATGCACCTCTAGATCTCACAATGACTCTTGCCCATTGAGTCATAGGAAGCATCTCAGAGAAGCCATCTCCTAGGCAGCTCCATGAGGCAACCACCATGCATGAAAATGCAGGATCATATGAATGCCCGCTTTGTAGCATTCATGTGTGCCTCCCTCCCGGCTACAGTTACTTAAGCTTTGAATTTGGTCCATGATCTTTCATCTCAGCATCCCTTAGAAAGAAAATGCAAGCTGAATTCACTGACAAAATCATTAACTTCATAATATACTGATAGCAGATTTTGTTCCATAAAATTCAGGTTGGCTCATTGAAAAGAAACAGAAGCAGTTAATGTGATCAAACATAAAACACAGTGACGATGCCCACAGTGTGCTAAATGGGAAGCAAAACATGTGGAAATGAAACCCTAGGGTGGGTGGACTCGGCTGTTTGTAAAGGAAATTACAAAAGGTAGTTTGTGACACCAGGAGGACTGCAGACCACAGAGATCACTTCCAAAAAAGTGTCATTAATCTTGACAATGCTTGATAGGCACAAGGGAAACAATCAAATGCAGTCATCCCCGAGAAAAACTTATTGCTAAAGCTGCAGTATCACTTTTTGCAAGTGAGATGACCATGTGGGTTTGGAAACAATGAATCAGCCTGTTCCTTCTCAAGTCACAAGTGAACTCGGTCACGCCACTTTCATCTTCCTTGTAAAAAGGATGCTGCTTCTTACTCCTAACGATATTTCAGCCAGCATGAAATAACTCAGAGAAAAACACACCTTAAAAGGTAAATTCCACATCAAAACAGAGCAATAACTGGAACTAAGCTTTAAAAGGACCCAAAGAAAACCCCCAACTCAGATTTGGACCATTTTAAGGGCAGGCTTAGACCTCCTTACAAAAGACAGTTAGCGGCCTACCAGAAAGTGAGCACTTGTTCATGAAAAACCCATTCAACTTCCTACAGGTTTTGCACAGTTTCTTCTATGGAGATATTTTTTTTAGGAATATCAAGAGTTGTGTGGAAAAGTGAAGATCCTCGTCAGTCCTCCTCTGTACAGCCCAAGAGCTCTGACCGTAAAGTGATCCTGCCGTACCATGACCAAGGGAGGATCCTTATGTGCCGTGCATAGATTGGGGGGTCAATGACGTTCTTTCTGTGGGTGTCGTTATCAAAGTTGCCCTGGAAAACCTGAAAAGTGACCAAGAAGAACCAGTGATAGCAAAATAGTACAAAAGAAACCAGGCAGAGTGGAGAGATGGAGGTAAGAGAGCACCGTGAAAAACAGCAAAGATAGACAGATATGTGCTACCATCAGAAAGTCAGGTTGCCTGACTCAGGAAAGAATTATGTTTTATATATGGATATTACTGGGAATGGTTGGTGTTCCAGAAAAACAACAACTCACCAATGGCTACAATTCCTAAATCCAGTTCCTGACATGTAAACCCTATTGAACTTAGGACTCAGCTACATTCGTAAAGATAAAGCGCTTTATATGCGTTATAACTCTGTGGCACCAGATGTTGCTATGGAGTCCCGCGGGATTTCCCTGTAAGAAGTTTACAATGCATTTAACTGAATCGTTGGTTGTTGTTTTTTATGTGTCTAAATTCAGCCTTAGGGTGGCTTCCTTCTCTGTAAACAGGTTTTAGGATCAAACTACAATATGATCCATCATTACCCAATACAGGGTTTCACAAATGTCAGAGCTCATGAACCCCTTGATGAGTTTATAAAGGTACTGACCCAAACCCAAATTATTAGGAATGTAAATGAAATAAAGCCAAGAATATCAACCTATAATCAGGATTTATTAATCAATCGCCTTTACTAGGAATCATAAAATGTAAAAAAAACAGTAAAACCAAAGGAAAATAACACCATATCACTCTGCACATGCCCATGCCCTTTATTTCTGAAGCTCATAGCTCCCAATTAAATTTTCTTCCATGATACCCTATTAACTTCTTTTTCCACTCTAAGACCTTTCTGACCTCTTTCAACCCCTAGGACTTTATTCAACCCCTGCACAATCCCATCAACACAGGGGATCAATACTGACCACTCTGGGAGACCCTGACCTAAAAATGATGCCATTAATTTCATTAATAGCAGTGGCTTTCCAACCATATTGCTCAAAACATTCACTAACAAGGTACAGGCTGTTTAAAGAAGTGCACCATTGTGTTTTGCTCTTATGAGCTATCAAGCACTGCTCCTGTTAAGGGTATTGTTGAAACTAACACCATCATTTAGTCTAGTAATACCAGGGTTGGGGAGGATGAGAAGAAGTGAGAGGTGAGAGGGAAAGCAAGACACACACCTAGAAAATACTTCAATTGCGCAATGTGCTCCTTCCTGCTGCAAAAAGCATTACTATTGATGACATTAAAATATCTGTTATTGATATGTTTGTGTACCGTTTGGCAGACCAGAAAATAAGGAGAAAATTCTTTCAAGCACTTTTAAAATGCCAAGATTATTTGGAATGCAGGATTAAAAAAATAATAATCTCACACATGCAGCTTGGAGATACATAATTTTTATTTAAAAGGTCATTAATGAATAAAATGCCATCTGTGCCAAGCAAACTGTCAGCTACCAAGGTAACAGTTCCGAGTAAGCCTGGCTAAATGCAGAAGTTAAAATGATGTGCAAGGCATATTTGTTTTAGGATTTATTTCCTTGGGGTAAGTGTTTGTTTGGTGCTTGCCAGATGCATGTTTATTTTATAGTGCATGTAGAGCAGTGTTGTGGCACCATAAGGCCATTTTGGCCAAGCCACACCCAGCCTGCCCTACACATGATGTCATATATGATGTCAGGTGTGGGGAAGATCAAGGCGAGGCTTGGACAAAAGAGGCTTTGCAGGCATTACTGGCCACCTGATTGGCGGTGCGTGCCCGCAAAGCCACTTTCCAGCATTTTCCAAGAGCCAACCATCAGGTGATTGTTGGCGCTTGGGAAGCAACTGGGCTCAGCGATTCCCCAGTGTCAACAACGCCTTCCCCCCAGTTTGTGTTACCTACTGCTGCAGTATTCTCTTAAAACTGAAATTGCAATGTGTTTGTCATCAGGAAAATGAAAGTGACTGTTGTCTATAGCAGGCTACAGCCCTGTGCTCCAGGCTGCCATGCCCTTGCCTTGCAAAGCAGCACATTATAAGCTTTTACATAGCACCTTGTTACTCGATTGCTTGATGTGGAAACAGTATGTAGCAGCAGTGATTTTTTATTTTACAGGGAAACAAATTAAGAGAACAAGGAGAGAGAGAGCTGCTTGCCAATCACCCCATAGGGCAACCATACCATCAGCCTGTTCAAAGTGGCAGGTACAAAGGCTGCTTCTCATTGGACTTGAGTAAGAAAAAAATAAAAGCAATAGGGAAATCTAAAGTATTGCATTTAATATAACAAACAAAACACAGCTCTAACAGTATGGAGCATATGAATGTAGGAAGAGCCCTGCTGGATCAAGCCAAAGGCTTATTCAGTCCAATATCCTGTTCTCACAGCAGCCAACCAGATGGACCTGAGGAAAGCAGTGCCTGTCCCACTTTTGGGATCTCTACCATGTTGAGCTGTACAATTGGTGTAGCACCTCAGTGGTTCTAGTGTGTAAATTTATGTTTTAATTCTATTTTTGTCTCTGTCATTTAAAGCTAAGGAGTATGCAGCCGCTAGGAAGAAGCGGGAGGGAGGGAAACAAAAAACTGTGTTGTTTTTTTTTTAAAAAAACAACATTTTCTTTATAGACAGATTCTCCTCAATTGACAAGAAAATCCTGGGGAACTCAGTCTTTTTAATCCTCTTGCCATAAGTTTTTTTTTAAATGTTTTTGAACAATAGCTGTGGGATGCAATTAAGCTGTCTTCTTTGCAGTATTTACCAGGAATTCCAACAGAGCAAAGACCATTTTTTCCCCTAGACAACATATGTGAAAAATCCTGCAAACACAACATTATTAATATCCTCAAGGTAAATAACTTCTCCTTAGCAACTGGCTAGTGCAAGCCTGAACCATTGTTTTCCCCATCTTCAAGGTTGCATGGTAGACTAGAGAAAAAACAGACAAAGTTTTTTCATCAGCCTACTTTGATGTAAAGCAATCTTTGTAATTATTCTTTATACAGTAGTAAGGAATGGATAGATCAATCTATTTTTGGTCTGTGTCAGTTTCACATGTGTTCATTCATGAGTCCATCCCATCATGTTTCCACATTAAAGTACGATTTCACCCTGAAAAAATATCTATATGAATTAATATTTAAATATGTATACTTTTATACCAATGCACACATTTCTAAGTTGTTCTTATCCCCAAATATGGATTCTGGTACACTTCTTGAACTGAGAACTGTTATCACAAAATCCAGGAAAGTATCTGAAGCATTATTCCATTCCAGTATTGTCTTGTTAGTCCAGGAAGTGCAAATTAGGTTGCTTCACTTAAAACAGTAGCAACACACTTGGTGAGGCAGATTTGCAGAACTGCTCTCCTGACCTGGTATTTCTATTGCCTATGGATGTTGCATGCCTTCCCCTAATGTGTATATTTGTTGGTTGAAAAGCTACTCTGCTAAATTCAGAGAAGTGTTTATTTCAAAATATAGCTATGCTTCTGTTTGCATAATGTTTTGGGAAGGGAGAATTAGGTGGGTTCCCAGTGTGGATTGCAAACTAAACCAAATTTCTCATCCCTTCCCTTCTTTCCACATGCAAAGGATGCAGAAAAGTGGAGCTACTCTTGTTTCCTGCACTTTGCAGGATACTGTAGAACAGGGTGTTTTCACAAAGCACATCTGTTCCATGCATGCAACATCCCAAGTGCATGCAGGAAAGGATTTTGCAGATCATGGCATGCATTTCTAATTTTACATGGCAATTCCTTTCATATGACCCACAGTTATTCCTTTCCCCATAACAGACTCCACCAAGTATGGTATTCATTACTATAGCACTGAAAGTACAGTGATCTACTGACCTCTAGTTGAGGAAAACATGATTACCATTTAGTCCAGAGAGATTCCCCCCCCCAAATGTATTTTTCTCAACATGCTCCAATTTCAGTGATTTCCAGCTCAGCCCAAACACAGAGATGGTGCTCGTGTATATCTTTCAAACCATTTAAAATGAACCCAAAGAGAGAGAGAGAAAGAAAGAGAATGTAGGGTATAGTTTTGCAGCTCTCCTGGGCTGCATCCCTAGAGGAACATGGTGTCGATTTAAACTCAGATAACTGGCAGTTAAAGTGGTAAGCGCCAGAAAGAAACAGCAGGAGCAACTGTTCTTTTTCATATCCTCTCCATTTGAAAGTGCAATGAGAACTGAGCTAAAACAGTCTTTTTACTTCTGTTGCTGCTTTCATTAATGTTAAAAAGAAAACTCTGATAAGAGAGTGTGTGTGTGTGCGTGCGCCTGCCCTTCCAGCTGCCCTGATTGGCCTTGGATGAAAAGCAAAGAAATACATTTGATTTTCATGCCATTTGCTTAGTGCCTAATCAAACATGCAAATTTTGTCATGAATATCAAAAATATTGGTTCAACTACATAAGTGGCAGACACGCACACACTGCTAGAAAGCTGCTTTTTCACACTTCAAAGCAATCCCAAAAATCTTTAACTACCGGTACATACTAAGCATATAGTGGCTGTGTGTCCTATTGTCCAGAGGGCAGTCCTCTATTTGGAGAGGCCGACATTTGCAAGGGCTATCCAAGCCTGGTTTAAAGATGAAGTACTACCAGAAGAGAAAGAAGCAAAAGTGCCCCCACCATTAGGTAGAGTGAGGTGGAATGAAAAATACATGATATTAAAAGGCCTTAGAGAACAAAAGAGGTCATAGCCTGGTGCTGAAACAACACGGGCACCAGGTGAGCTTACATAGGAAGAGCATTCCAGAGCCACTACCAAAAAGGCCCCCTCTCTCTTGTCATAGCCAACCTCCAAGTTTCAGATTAAGAAAGCACTTGGAAAAGGGTCTCTGTAGATGGCCTTGCTGTACACAGGTAGAAAAATACAGGAGGAGGGGATCCATCAAGTACAGGACCTACACTGTAGAGCTTTATAAGTCTGAACCAGCATTTTGAATTGGACAGTGAAGGCAAAAAAGAACTGATGTAATCTGTTCATAATGCCTAGTCTTACTTAAAATGCTTTATTTATTGAATTTGTATCTCATCATTTTCTCCAAGGAGCTCAAGGTGGTTTGCATGGTTCACTCCTCATTATTTCATCCCCACCACAACCCTGTGAGGTAGGTTAGGATGAGAAGCAGCGACTGGCCCAAGATCACCTAATGAGCTTCATGACCGAGTGGGGATATTTTCCACCAGCTGAAGTTTCTGGACAGTATTCGAAAGCAGCACCATGTGCAATGCATCACCAGCCATCCCGTAGAGGCCTGCACTTAGGAAATTGGCAATGTCCCCTCTCCTTCACAATGAAGCCTGCAAGGGGAATGATGGCTGGGGCAAAGGAAGAGGTAGCTCTCTGCAGCTTCTTTCTGTGAGGTTTTGGACCTAAACCACTTGAGTTGGGTCTTGTGATTTTGGTCTTCACCTCTTGCAAGAGAGGAGAGGCTATGAAAGGCAGAAATACCAGTGTATGTTGCAAATGTGATGAGAATGGAAAGATGCCCAGGAGAACCATGTGGCTAAGATGTGGGAAAGCTGTACACTTCCAGAGCTGGAGCTTGCTCAAAAGTGAGCTTGCTATGTAGGGCTGTGAAGTTATGGTAGAACTTGTGGGCAAATTACTTCATACCTGCTCTCTCTGTCCACAAAGCGGCTTACACAACATCAGGTGGGGCTGAACCTTGAAACTAGTTTGATGCCAGTTCTTGAACCTTGTGATACTAGAGTATTGGGGTGGGGTATTGTTTTTGTTTGTTACTGTGTTTGTTACTGCAAGCCACCCTGTGATCCTCAGATGAAGAGCAGTATAGAAATTTAATAAATAACAGAGTGGTAGCAAACAAGAGAGTAGGAAGAAGGTTAGTTGTGGGTTCATGGGTGAAGGGAAGGGAGGTGCTCTTCCTCAGGACAGATTAAAATCCAAACCAGAGAAAATGGGGTCACAATGCTTGCTTTGTTCCTAAGATGAGCATTACACATCACTGATGTGTGTATTCCAAGCCAAAGAATTAACTATGGATCAGGAAGAACCTAAAGATGTGCTCAAAGCTGTAAGAAGGATATATATTTTTGGATTCTAGAGTTTCTTATAAAGTTGCCTCCCAGCTGTCGGGCATCAGATTCCCTCTTCAAATGAATGTTTGTGCTTAGAATAACAATGAAGATGTATCTATCGAACTGTGAATGCAGAATGTTTTAAAGTAGACGTTTTCATGGTTCCCCAAGGTCTACCAATACTGCAATCAGCCATTCAGTTGAGGAAGAGGGAAAAATGAGCAGCAGTCCCTAGGAAAACCCTGTAAACTACAATTAATGATACAGCTGAGTGAGATTAACAGTGGAAATAAGTCAATTTGTTTTCTGAGTCAACTTGGCATTTGGAAAATAAGCCCATGCCTCCCTCCCAGACTCCCTGATCCCACAAAACACCATCTTTACCAGACACTCCATCGCCATACTCCAAATATCTTATTTCTTGTGTGGGAGCAGTGGTGGTGCACAGGGAGTGATGAAATCTGGCTCTGCCCTCCTTATCTGGTGTCCCAGTACACTTTGCAACATGCCAAACATGCATTTCTGCCCTTGAGATATGTAGTTCTGCTAAGGTCTGTTCCAGGGATGGAGTTCCCATGGCCCTTCAGATGTTGCTGGTCTACAATTCCCATCATTCCCATGCCAGCTTATGCTGATGGAGCTGGATTTTAATGGAATCTGGAGGGCCACAAGTTGTCCCTAGGTTCTACTCTCGTTATCAGACACTGGAGATGGGAGGGAGGGGCTGACTTCTTTCTTTCCATGTGAGAAGAAAGGTGGTTCAGGGACTGGGAATCTGGCAGGCAGGGAGGAAAACTGGGAATTTTCATTTGACTCAGGCTTTAATTCAAACTAGATAACTCAGGGGCATGTAAAGCCACTATTATAAGCCTTCAAATCTTGTATCCATATATAGAAAGGTTATCTGCCATCTCTAACAAGTTGTTGTTGTTGTTGTTGTTGTTGTTGTTGTTGTTGTTGTTGTTGTTGTTGTTGTTTTATTTATATGCCAACCATCTGACTGGGTTGCCCCAGCCACTCTGGGCGGCTACCAGCAAAACATTAATCTTAAGTGTATACATGATACCCCCACTGCTTACATTGCAATGTTAACCTTTCTTCTAGCCCATGGCTAGAATGCTAAGTCTGAATCCATGCTCAAATTCCTGCTCAGGTGTGATGCTCAGCTGGCCACCTTGGACTAGCCTAACGAAGTTCACAGGATGCTAAGTAAAGAAAAAATTGTGAGGAGCATCTTGGAGAAAAGATGGGACACACATGAAATTAATTCATGGTAGGGAGTCATGCTATGGTCAATATTAGACTTGTGTTAGTATAGCTGGCCAGACTGTCTGAAACCCTGTAGGAATTCTCAGAAGATAATGGTAGATGAAAACTGTATTTGATTGCTGCTCACCATCACTGCAGGGGGTAGACTATTTGAAGGTCAACTCTACTACACAGCTTGCTCCAGCTGAGTGCTATCTGGGAAGGATGGCTAACTGGCAGTGCTGCTATAATACAAGGCGGCGTCCATCGCTCGAGAAGGAAGAGAACTGCTTCCTCTTTAGAAAAACAGTTGCACACCAGGCTAGTTTGAATAGAATTCAAAAGTCTTCAGAGATGTTCATGAATACTAATTTTCCTCCTATAGATTTTAATTGCTTATAACATATTAAAATAATATGGATTATAACAGAACTATTTTGTGATTGACGCATTTTGATATAGTTAAAAAGTTAACCTAATTACTCATACCCAACTTTGAGAAAAAATGTGTCTTTCTTGAGACAGATGCATGCTGTCAGTTTCTACATCCACATTTTGCCCTAGATTTTACAGATCCACTCTGAAATTTTGGGTAGGACCAATTTTTTCTGTGCTCCAGTGACTGTTATTTGAGATTTTTGTGTTTTTATATTGTAAATTGCCCTGTGATCTTCATATGAAGGGTGGTATAGAAATTTAATATAAATAAATAAATAGATTCTGGGAAAAGCTTTTTCCAGAAGGTTATTGCTTTCTGCTTGGTAGTGTCACTTAAATATCCTAGCATGATTCCAGTGGAATTGTGGGTCATGACATTTCTTATTAGATCTCAACCACATGTGCAAACAGACGGCATTTTTATGATGGCATTTGCACTAGTAATTCCCCTCTGACTGATAAACTTCCTTCAATCTACTCAGTACTGAACACCAATGAAGCAATATAGTGGTTATCAAGCTTATGTAACTTAGAAATGTGTACTCTCATCAGGCGATATATTTCTAACCCTGTGTTGGGATTTCTATTATATGTTTAGCTCAGATCTCCCACAGTTTTGAGAGCTAAGTGCATTTCCTTGCTGTTTGAAGTATAAACAGGCTAGGCAGGAACTATACAGTATGTCCTGAAGGCAGAGTATTGTATTGATTATCTTGCATATAATAAAAATGTAAGTGTGCCTTCACACAATAGTTCATGTGGCTACCAACAGAGGCTGCTGCAAACTACAGTATGATGACACAATCCTTTTCACTTGCTGCTGGGCCATCACAGCTGTGTTGGGAGGGTGATGAAGAGACAGACAGGCAGGGGGTGGGTGGCCCAGGTGAATGAGTGTGTGGGCAGCAGCCCAGGGAAGTTGTGTAGGTGGGCAGGTGGCCCAAGTGTGGTGTGTGTGTGTGGTACCCACAACAGTTTCTCAAGTTTGCAAATGTGCCAAGGGGGCCCAGGAAGACAGGTGACTCCTGCATATTTTATGAACCATTTTACCATGGATAAAAGTGAATTTTGAAATCGGAAAATGAAACGTTTTCCTTTAAGTGCATTTGATGATATACATATAAAAATATATTCTCCATTTAACAGCTTTAAATTTGACACATTCCTGCAACTAAAACTGAAGTATCTATAAATGTTGGTGCATAACGACATCGATTCTTTCTGTTCACCTTGACTTTTAGCCATAGACCCTTTGGCATGAACATCCTATAAAGCAGACAGCAGACATTAACCTGCAGGCTACTAGCTCTGTGATTACCAGGGATGTAGCAGCTTTCTATAAAAAATGCTTTCCAAATATCAATTGCCTCATTACCTCACCTTATCCTTTTTTTGCTTTTCATCCTGATATATGGTCCAGTGCTCTCCATTGTTGCTGTAGGCAAGTTTATAGGAGCCCACAAATTGTACATGACCAAAATCTTTGGCTCCTTGAGTAATTATGCCCGTCACCTTTGTAGGAACAAGAAGATCAATCTAAAAAACAAAAAACACACACAAAAAAGTAAATACAAAATGGTAACGTTACAATGTTTTGAGTTCTCAAATTCATTTTCAAAAAGGGTTTAGAGTTTCTTTCTTGGCCAGGTCACAGATGATCTAATACAAATGGGCAAAATAATACTGAAAGTAATGTGTGAAATTCATTGTCACGTTTGATATAGTAAATGAATGCAGTTTTTATTAGAATTATTATCAATCACATTGGTTTGCACAAAACTTCCAACATTTAGTCACAGAATAAGGCACACTGAAATAAATAGCTTGGAATGAATTTGCCACTCCACCCCATGCTAAATCATTTTTCTAATCCTGGATGGGAACTTCCATGATCTTCAGATTGCTTTTCTGACTTATTTCCATAATGTCATTTTCAGCATTTTTGCCGTGCTTTCTGGTGCATAAATGTTTTACAATATTTATGTAATTCCTTCCGACAAGATGAATTATTATGCCCATCTGATTGCAGGGATTTGATTGCAAGGATTTAGTAAAGCAAAGCCACCCACAGACAGTGTTTCCCATTGTGGACTATAAATGTTTCTGAAGCAAATGTTCCTTGTGTGCACATAGCTGGCAAGACACACACTGGCAGTCTTGAGAACAGCTAGCAGTGACTAAAGGCACACTCCTATAAACAATATTCTCATGTAACTTCAATTATCTCAATGATACTTGCATGGTCATAGTGACAGCTGAATTCATTGACCCATGGCTTAAAAAACAACAACCCAGCTCCATAAATTTTAAGGGATCCACTTACACAAAAATATCTTCCCCTACATTTGGCACTCTTCATTCACTCAGGGGGAAAAGTTGTACCTATGTATTTCATCCAATTCTGCCAAGTAATAAAAAGTTGTCACCTGTACTTTTTTAAACTTTGAAATTCTAAAGCTGCCCAGTACAGGCCCCACTGCACCTTTTTGTCTACAATCTGGCAGGCCTCATCCTCTGGCAAAGCATAAAGAAATTATAGCCATTTCTTGATTTCCCTATTGTAGTTAATGCGGAGAAAAGTGTTGCCTCAGATTTCCAGAAGCTGAGTATCTGAACGAAGGTGAGCAGAAGTGATGCACCTGGTGGGCATAGCTGCAATGCTAGCTTCCCAAAAGTGGTGCCACTGACATGGTGCAGTTGCCTTTGCAGGAGCAACTGACTGGTTCTGCTGGTGTGCCCACAGAGCTCCATCCTCTTCCCTGCCTGCCTCAGGGCAAGTGGTAGTAGCACAGCTGTCAGAAAGCTAGAATTGCAGGTGAGCCACTTCTGAAAGTGGGAAAGGAAGCCCCAAACTAAAGTGACTCACTAATCCAAGTGCTAAAGCAGAGCTCGAAAGCAGTTTTATTTTGCTATTGCCAGTCTTATCAAGGAACTGGGGGTGGGTGGGGGGAGAGAGACGATTTCCTTCTTAGCATTCACTATGGCTTTAATGGGTTGCAGTTGACTTTCCTTTATCCATATGTCTCTCATCAGCAAATTAGCATTTTTATTAGCTGCTAAAATAATGATAAAATAATCATGGTGTTATTTCTGGGTGCTTGATTCCTTGGTAAATAATGCTAATAAAAATGGATTCTATGTTTAAGCTACTTTGCAATTATTTTAAGGTTTATAATTATTTTTTGCTTAGTTTGTTTTAGAGTTGCATCTGGAACATGCACTGAGATTTTTTGGAAGTGGGTGGTTGTTGTTGCTGCTGTAGATGGACTGATATGACAACTATACCTAGACTTCTGTCCCCATCAGTAGCAATATGAAAATAATGATGTTAGCTTAGGATGAACTTGGAGAATGAGGCTACAATCCCAACCATGTCAACCCAGATAAAGTGTTGCTAAATTCAATAGGGATCATAAGAAAAGGAACTAAAAATAAAAACTGCTATCATAACACTGTTAACACAAATCTATGGTGCAACCACATTTGGAATACTGTATGCTGTGTACAGTATTGTGGAGTTTGCAAAGAGTCAGAAAAGTTGCTGGGAATTGCAGGTGGGCAGAGTCTAGCTTGCAGGCTTCCTACAGGTATCTGGCTGGCTGCTGTGAGAACAGGATGCTGAACTAGATGGGACATTGGCCTGATTCAGTAGGCTCTTCATACATTCTTATAGATATTAAGCAGAGCTTCCTCCTAGGTAACTATGCCTAAGATTGCAGTTGTCAGGAACGTGATGCAACCGAGTGCAGGGGGAGAGTCAGACTCGGAAATTGAGCCAAGTGAGAGAGAGGCTGGCTCTGCAGAAGAAAGTGGGCTGGCAGAGCCAAGAAAGGGTAGCTCAACTGCCCTTCACAAAGAGGACAAAAATAGCCCTCAAGAAGCAGGAGAGTTAGGAGGCAATCAGAGTGTTGCTAGGCAACCAGCAGAGGACGGACGGTGTATCTAGTGGGAGTGGGGAGAGGGCAGGCCAGCCTCTCAGTCCCTGTGCTCGCAGACTAGACAAGGTCAGAGTGCAACAGAAGGGCAAGAGGGGAAGGGTGGGAATCTGGCACCCTCCCTGTTGTGAGCGGGGTGGAGTTTCAGACTGACCAACTCCCTTCAATGCAAGCAGGCGAGAAGCCGGGCTCTGGATGTGTTTTTGTCAATAAACATAACATGAAACTGCCAGAGAGTCATTAATTCTTATCGGGGCTTGCTTGCCTGCCTGAGATCATTACAGCAGTCATGCCACAGGACTGATAAGGGATATGAACCCAGGTCTCCCTAATCAAAATCCAGTATGCAAGCTGCTTTACCACACTTTACCAGCTCACTATCCTTTGATTGTTAGTTGATCCTCATAAATTGGGTATTATCCTATGCACTGCTGTTCAATGTTTATTATTTTTAATATATAGATAAACATAAGACACTCCTTGAGGGTGTGGCTATGGGAGCCATAATGCTTTGCTTCTGCACTTTAAAATGTACACCACTGAGCACTTGCACAAACATTGCCCAAAGCACACAGGAAAAGGCATCTGCATTTTATAACAACATTAAAGATGAAAGCCACATAGGAAGGTGGACAGATAACACAGTTCCTGAACTGCTAAAGTGCTCACAAATAACTGTTCAGGTGCTCACAAGGTTAAATCTGCCCTTTGAGATATTTATATTAGAGTTAGGCTGGGAAGAGCCTGTTATTATATACAGAGGTGTTAGACATGCACACTCTTCATGCATGCACACAACAATAGCTTGTACAGAGGCAGCTTCATTCAGCCAATCTTTTTGCAGAATGACTTTTACCGTCTGTCAGCTAAGATTATTATGCACTGCTTAACCTACTTCCATAGCTATGTTTCTGTTGCTCTAAAGCAAGAGTGACAAAATCACATTAGAACCACAAACAAGCTTTCAAGAAGCACTTGCTGAAATGGAAGAATTAGTTTGTTTCCCTAAAGAAACATAATGGCCAACTGAGTTACGGAAAGTAGGCTGGCTGGGAAAAGGCAATTAAAGGTGGGTTGTTCATTTGCTGTGCCCACTGGCCTGTGCATGCTGTTGTTTAACACCTGGTCTGTACATAATGATACCATGCTCATCCATTATTTGATTTGATTTGATTTGATCGTGGATGAGGGTGCCAGTCTGGTGTGTATTATTGAGATCTGGGTGGGTGAGTTGGGAGGAGTTCATCTGACACAGTTATGTCAACCTGGATTATCAGCACTGCATCAGCACAGGCTGCATGGATCGGAGAGATGAGAGAGTTGCTGTGGTCCATAGAGCTTTCATCTACATCACCAGGCTGGAATACACCAATGCACTCTATGTGGAGTTGTCTTAGACAAGCTTGGCCTCTACAGGCCTCCCATCCTTGGGCAGGTGGACCTGAAGTCCTCCAAATATTGCTGGAGCACATCTCCGATCATCCCTGCCCATTTGCCATGACAATGGTTTTGTGAGTCAAGGACCCGCAACCCGCTTAGAGATAAATAAGACACAAGGAGGACCCGCCACCCGTTTAGAGATAAATAAGACACAAGGACACATGCATTTTAGGTTAATGGGCTAAATAAAGCCACAACTTTATTGGTTACAGCATATGAGTGGTATTGGCTTAGGCATTGGATCAAATCTCTACATGACTCCACCCCGCTCAGCGGGGAGTCATTCAAGGGTTAACAACCAGTGGGAGGAGCTTGTTGATGCAAATACAACTGGAAGCTTCCCCTGACGTCACTGGGGGCCGTGCCATGGCCCTAGCCACCAGCAGGGCATCGGACAGGATCCATGACCGCCGGATCCTTTTAACGGAATACCCAACAAGGGGAGGGGTAGGTGATGGCCACCACCTGCCCTCCGACACACGACACATATTCCAATGCCTAACCGCCAATATCCGATTTGCTACGAGGCAGGCGAAAAACCAAGAGGCTGGTGCCAATTTGCCAAATGGATAAAAATTCCTACCAGGCCCCCTTGGGCAACCAAGGCAACCGACCAAAGTCCATAGCAAGGTCAAAAGCATAGATATGACCTAAAGGGAGGGTGGGCGGGTGATCCGTTGAATTCAGGAAGGAGAATGGGGCACGGCGCTGCTGTGGCTGCTTAACTTCGGCTAAACCCCACCCCCAATCCAGCCCTATTGGCTGGCTAAAGGGCGTGGTGCGGCAGCTGGGATAACTGATGCAGGGGCCGAATACGCCTCCCTGCTGAAGCGGGAACTGGCTCCCGCTCACAACCCCTCCCCTCTGGTAGGAGGAGAGGTCTTGCCATCAACCATTGGCTCATGGGAACACAGAGATTCTGCATCGATATGATTTTGCTGTACCCTCTAGAAGAAGTATTACAGGAATGTTTGGTGTATAATCAACTGCCACTAACCCATGGGTAAAATAAATGGGAAGGAAAAGAAATCAAAATCAAAGCAAGTTTAAAACAACTCCAACTGCTTCTATCACAATTCACTTCAGGGAAAGTGGATTAAAACAACAACAACATAAAGTCCCCCAGGGACAAAATTATATATATCACGGCTATAAAATTAT